TGACAAAGGGAGAGAGTGGCATGGACATATGTACACTACCAAAGGTAAAATAGATAGCTAGTGGGAAGTAGCCGCATAGCACAGGGAGATCAGCTCGCGGGTTTGTGACCACCTGGATGGGTGGGATAGGGAGAGTGGGAGGGAGACGCAAGAAGGTGGAGATATAGGGATATATGTATACATATAGCTGATTCAGTTTGTAATACAGCAGAAACTAACACAACATTGTAAAGCGATTATACTCCAATAAAGATGTAAAAAAAAAAAATGTTCATGCTCCTTTAATAGAAACTCATTTTAGAGATGCTAATAAAGAAGGGATGCAATGAAGAAGGGCATACATTTTTGCTCCTCATAGTATAGTCCTTAGACTAGCAGCAATCGTCATCTGGGAACACATAAGGAATGCGCCACATAAGACCTCCTGTATGATGCTCGTATTCTTACCAAGAATTCCACATGATTTGTATGACAAGAGGCTGTGAGAACCTCTGAGCCCAGATCACATGCTCTATTATTTAATTATTTACAGTTAGATGAGCACTTAATTCGTCAAAAACCTATATGAAATTACTCTTTCTACACAATTAGAGGAAATGAAGTGATTAAAGAGCTAAAAATATACCTAACCTGTTTCTGCATTTTATCCATTCATCCTCACTGAAGGGTAATATTGCAACTTCAATAATCATTCTGTTTATTTGCAACAAAATGATATAAAAAATAGACCTGGATATGGTTATATACAAATATGGTTTGTTTCTGGTTATATTGACAGCTACATGACTTTGGGCAAGTCATGATCAAATGTATCTGAGGATATTTTCTAAAATTTTCATTTTTTACTCTCTATATTGATCACACAGTCATACTTAGCATTGTGCTAGTCAACAGAGACCATAATTTCTTTATTCGCTGTCCGCTGGTGTGGTATAGATTTAGTTACAAGATTTACAGAATAGCTGGTTGATCCGGAATGCATGCTAGGAGGCTCCTTAAGCTTTAATTAATGTCTCCCCTTCTCACCTCAGTGATTTAACATCAGTTCTGTGTCTAAGCCAAAGCAATGAAAATCATTCCTTAGGCATTCAAGGACAAATTCTTTTATTTCAGTTCTATTATTTAAATCCATGACTGTGATATATAGCTAGTAAAGAGGATGAAAGATGATTTTAGATGATTCATCAGGTATCCAGATTCTATTACACAATCTTGTTAACAAAACAGCAAGCAGGCAGTATGTCTCAATTATTTAGAAACCAAAATGGAAATGTATAATCAGAATAATATTCATAATGATCATATACTAATTAAAATATATTTATCTTAGATATATATTTCATTTGTCTTTAGTATAATTTTCATAAGTAGTGTAAAAACTGTGGTAGATGACAATTTCAAAGTGTTCACAACTTTGAACATTGAACAGGATCAGGACGTGTTTCCTTGTGCATTTCTCTATGGTTTTATCATGACCCTTCAGTATTAGACACTTGCAAAACATAGATCAAAATGTTCAGGGCTTCCCTGGTGGAGCAGTGGTTGAGAGTCTGCCTGCTGATGCAGGGGACACGGGTTCGTGCCCCGGTCCGGGAAGATCCCACGTGCCGCGGAGCGGCTGGGCCCGTGAGCCATGGCTGCTGAGCCTGCGCGTCCGGAGCCTGTGCTCCACAACGGGAGAGGCCACAGCAGTGAGAGGCCCGCGTACCGCAAAAAAAAAAAAAACAAAAACAAAAACACTTACCACGGCTAACACTTTTTTTTTCTTTGTTTTTGTTAAAATCGGAGTTACTGCAATTTAAATTATAACATCACATAAGAATTGCAAGCAGTGATACTGCAGATTTTCAAAACTACACGTGGATAGTTTTGCTATGGCCTCTCTTTAGCGGCACTTTGGTTTGCTTTATAACAGTTGAAAATCACAGAATCTGGCGATATAAGAATAGTCAAATAGTTGAAACGCATTGATGGTAGTGAGTGTAGTTTTGCTATTCATGGCTACAAGAACAGAACTTGTTTCTTCCACTGGCGTTTAAAACCTACCATCCCTTAGCTACTTTGAAAGGATGGCAAGTGTCCAAGATGAAGGGAAATGAAAGTTCAAAGCCATTCCAACCCTGCTATTCCAAGGTACTAGTGAAATAACCATACCTACATTTATAAGCCAAATTCGATGCAATAAAAATATAGAAAAAATTTCTGTAATATTAGGATTTTTAAACCACTCTACTAAAATAAGAAAGTATTTTCAGTTTCCTAAGAGTGAACATTACATAGTATAGATGTTTTTTATTATAAATACATCAGTTCACACTGAATCATAGCCAACAGGTATGATATAAATAGAGATAGTTTTAAAAGCTAAATATTTGTAAATCATTTGATAACATCGATGACGAAAACAAAATGATACCTAAGAGGTACATAAATATTTTGGTGGTAAAACATTGCACACTGAAATATATAAATCCCTCTTGTCTGAAGTGAACATTAACCAAAACAGAAACAGAAAATCAGTTCAAGTGTTGGTTAGTAAGATATTTACCAGCTTTGAACATTTGCATAAATGGAGCAAAATCATTAAATTTACAAGACACAGTATTACTATTATTCCTTGTAACTATATATAGCTATAAATAAAAACATACATGTATAATTATTTTTAATCAGACATTTTGAAGTGACAAATGAACTATGTTCTACTTGTATTTTATAAAGAATAAACATAAGAAGAAATAATGGTGCATTTCAAATTCTTAACACAAATGACACCTTGATAAACTTTCTAGAGCACGATATTTTTAAGTCATTAAGACCACCTAAAACTATATCATAAAATGCTTTAGCAATATATCTAACGAGCCAAACACAGGTAAACTATTACAGTACTTTATAAAAATAGAAATGTGACCTACGCTTTGCTACTTACCATGTCCCTCTTTATTTCAGCAGGCTATCCACAGTAGGCTCCTAACCACTTATTAAAAATTGAAAGACAACAGCTATAAACCTTTAGAAACAGGATACGCAACCCACTTACAGCAGATGTGGATTTTTTTTTTAATGTTTGCCTGGAGTTGCTGAAAACCATCTATTTCTTACATTTCCCCAATTCTGATGGATAGTTGCTTGTACCATACCTGTCCATTTCAGCAATAATTGAAAACGCAGTTTTAAAGTAAAAAATTCATTCTTGTCACCTTGACAAGCATGGTTTTGTAAGAAAGCTATTAGTAGTTGAATATCCTCCACTGTCTCTACTCCTCTTGTGAAATAAGCCGAAAAGATTATCTATTAATACATAGCAAGTTCTTGAGCTTATAAATAACTTCAGGAGTGAAAAATCCCTATTAAAATGCTAATTCCACACACACACACACACACACACACGCAATTTACAGAAAAAATTTTAATCTAAGCTATTTTGCATAATAATTGTTAATGCCTTAAAATCCTGCTAATATTCAAATGGAAAGGAAATTATGGTACATATAAGTACTCAAGATCAAGTGAAAATGAAAGATTATGTAATATTATGCTAATAGATATGTATCATAATTCCAAAATACGATGGAGGGCATTTTAACTCTTAGTAAAAATATTCTTTTCCTAATGAAAACCCTTTATTTGCTTTGTCTTCCTTTTTTTTGGCCGAAACAACGAAAGATAGAAAAACAAGAGAAATCAATCTGATAAATGATATTAGTACCAATAACAAGAACACATAACCCTACTGCTCCTACAAGAGTAGAAGACGTGTAATCTTCACTAGAAAATTGTGTTAATACATCAAAGAATTTTGTGGTCATTTGTTCAATTGCTACTCCAGTGTACTAAACCCCATCTATTTACTTTCTATGTTAAATTTATTACTGTTTCTAACAGGAAAACATGTACCTTTATATTGTCTTGATTTTGTACCTCTTTCAGCTTCCATTCCTTTAGCCTTACAAAACAAAATCCTAGAAGGAATGGGGTATTGATGCTTGAAGCATTGGTAGTGTTCTAAATTTACGACAAGGGAACTGAAAAGTAAATGAATTCTTCTCCCACCAAAGTCATGAAAAGACATTTCTAACAGGTCCAAAGCAGCCCTTTGTGATTTAGAGGGAGACTATCAGGCCAGCCTCCAGATAGGGCTGCACAGATCCAGAAGATTACTGTATAAAGTAATCCCCTTTGGTATGACCTGAATTAAGTGAATAGTTGAAAGTTAGCTGCTCTGGGTACCTTAACTTTCACACTTCTTTCTCAGTTGATAACTTTGGCTGTCTTGCCTGTGTGAACATATACATGCACATAACAATGAAGAGCCTACCTTCCTCATTTTGTATGTGAAGACAAGGAAAGGAAATTCATCTGGTGATTTTTTTGGTTGTTGTTATTTGGTAGTTTTATCATTTGTAATAGTGACCAGTCCAGCAATACCAAAAATGGTTTTTAAACCCACATGATCAAAACAATGTGAATAATTGGTGAGATCTTTTTTGGAAGAACCAGTTCATAGGAGTTAAACCCAAGTAGTTTCTCACCATAACTAACCATATATTTAACCAGTTTCTTTGTAATTTGAACATGAAAACCTAATGAAATTTATCTAATGGCATGATAATATAATAAAATTGCAGAATGTTAGTATTTAGTAGGGCTCACCCATCCTGGTTTCACCAAGATACATTTACTGCCCACCATACTAGCTATTTCACACCCTACAGACTATCCCACTTTAAAACTATGAATTCTCAGAACTGATGGTCATTCACTAGTTTTTCACAGAAAAATATCATTTCCATTTAAAGTCATTAGTTAAAAAGAAACAAAAACCCCAAGAATGCATGTCCTGAATAACTAAAAAAAATGGGTTTGTTTTCACTTCCAATTCCTCTTGCATTTTTCTGAATTCACTACCATTATTTCTTTATATTCATAGTAATAATTTTCCTTAATTATGTCTCCAAATCCATGCTTCAGAAGTGGTGTTAGAATCATACACTTACAGTCTGTGACTTTCAGTGTCCTCTTGACTTCTCCACTTCCTGATCCCCTGCAACCATCTTCATCATCACAGCCCCCGCTGACCAGTTCAGCCATGTCGCCACCACTGCCCATGTGAAGTTCCCACTTGCTGGGCTTGGGTGACCTACCCTGTAACAGCTAAACATGGATACCAAACACATTTATTAATAGAAAATTCAAATCATTTAAGGGTGCTATTCAACAATATGTAGAAATTAGTACTATTTTCTTATGTGGATCCACTGTTTTGATGTAGACACCTTACCACATCAAGTATGCAAGAAAGATCAAAAACTACTGAAATAATAATAAATAATGGGCAAGATTTTATAGCTGTAAAGAGCTACAGTCTGCCTATTAGATCTGTGATACAGCTTTGGAAAGCAAATAAAACCAGGTCTTCTTGCCCATGGATACTTTGGTTAGAGAATCCGCTGTTTAAGCAGGGTAAATCAAACTCCAGTACAACACAACCCCCTCTGCAGTGTGTTGCCTGATAATATTGTACTGTTTTGTAAACCAACAGTCCAAAATTTCCCAAAAAGAAGAGTGCTATTCTTCCAGAAAAGATTCAGTGAAAGGAATATAGAATTCTGGACATGTACATTTATAGTTTTATTTAAACTTCATGGATTAAATACTTAGACCAATGTACATGGCACAGAACTGAACCGTGGAACAAAAGACTTAGGTTCTACTTCCATTTATATGAATTACTTAAGAAATTTAACCAACTTCTTGTTCTTGGTTCTCAAGTATCTCATTTACTTTTATGAGCAAAATAGATGAACTAGACATTTCCCCCTATAGCATGGGGAAAATAATTTTTTCAAATAATATTGGACATGCCTAAACTCCTTTTCCAAAAGGTGATGTTATGAATAATAGACTATTTCACTTAAAGCTAAGACTGAGTAAAATGATCCAATATGTGACATTTACCCCTCTAAGGCAGTTTTGGAGGACACGTGACCAAGCGTGAGCACTAGAGGGCCCTGCCATATTGTGAATGAAATATATTGCAGCTGAACAGTTAATGGGCATTAAAATTTTCAGGGTGTTTTATGAAAGTATTAGGGTTATTTCTTAGAGATTTTCCAGATAACAGTATTAATTAGCAGACAATAATCAAACACACAACTCAATGATGGCATTGTATATTGATAAAATAAAGAGCAATCCATCCTCGGTACACGTAAGACAAATATGTTTAGCAGATAAAGAACACTAAGATTAAGCACCTGGACTCTGACAATTGATAAACTTTCAAAATTAAAAATAAAATTAGGTCACGAATTCTGAAATGTATTTTCTTAAAATTTATTTTCCTTGACAAAAATGAAATGTTAAAACAATTTGACAATAATTTAAAAATTCCGATCAGGATTTATTTCTATTGATCAGCATTTCCCAAGTGTTAATAGGTGTTAAATTTTAAAAGAAGGCTTCTTCCATGGTCAAGTGAATTTGGGATTAAGTTAAACCAAGCTTCTTATTGTGTTTAATGCACAGATATGTATGCCACTTCCTATAGTGGGCTGTGGCAATGGGGAAATACAGATACGTAATAAAGCATATAAAAATTCAAAAATCTGAAAAAGGAAAGGAAAAATAAATGTCATTATATTATAAAAATTATATTTAAATGTTTTATAAATTTTTAATACAATAATACCATTTATCATTTGTTATTTAACATAATCATAAAGGGCTGGGACTCAGAGGTCCAACATACCAAGAATTAAATCCTGATTCTGACATATATTAATCATATGACATTGGACATTGGGCAAGTCCCTGAATAACTCAGCTCTTTCATAACTAAAATAAAGACAATAATATACCTGGATCATTATTCTTATTATGAGAAAAATATCTAAATTATACTGCATGGTGTTGCCACATTAAAAATTAATATATTTTGCTAATTACTATCTTTGTTATTATATATTCTATTGCAATATTGCTTAAACACTCAGAACACAATAATTGAAAACTTATTTGATAAAGAATTCAATTACATGATTTACATTAAAATTTTTCAAAGTCGTAGCTTACACGTACAATAAAAGCCAAACTCTCTGATGATGTGTTATTCCTTTTGTCACTGACACTTTTTCCCAACGTTTTCCAATTTCAACTTTATTTCCCCTTTACTTCCCTAAGTATTCTTCCAATATTTTACTGGCACCTTGGTCAGAACAAGAAAGAATCTCACAAACAGCACCAACAATGTATAAGTCACGAAGATCCAACTCAGTGAATTTGAACTCAGAAACGCAGACAGAAAGATAGCACATGTAAAACAAAACTTACTGTTTTAGGTAACTGGTTTTGGTTGAAAGCAATTAGCTGCATTAACTATCAGAGAATGATTCATTAATTTATATTGACTTGCAAAAATAATAGATGACACTAGAGAAAAAAATATTTTTTTAAAAAATTAATATATTTACTACTTTTATCTTCTCCATCACTTCAGTGACACTCCAAGAAACATCTAAGGCACGCAAACTCATATTTTTAAGAAATAATACTATATAAAACTATATTTTAATTTAAACTATGTGTGGTGGAGCAGGATTATAAAATGGGCCCCAAGACTTCTTACTCAAATCCCTGGGACTGTGAATATGTCACTGTCACATCCATTGCATTACATGGCAAAAGGAATTTCACGAATGATCAGCTTATCCAAATACATCCACGATCCCGTCTGATCCATGCTTCCAGGTCCCCAGTGATCCCACCTCTCTCTGGTAGAGTCAACATCTCCATCTGCATCTCCTCTGCATGAAGATTCTGCTTTAAATGCTCCCTATCTTACTTCTCAATCATCATACATCCACAATAGTTCATTTTCATTCTCACAATTATATTAAAACTTAATTTGTGAAAATTCCCAATAAATTTCTAATCAACAAAAACAATGAGCTTTTTGCAGTTAGACCCTTATTCAAAATGCCACTTCTTTGGGACTAAACTATTCTGATTTCTCCTTAGTTTGATCATCTTTCTCCTCACTTCCAAAACAGTAAAAATGTTTCAGTTAATAATGTAAATCCCCTGTTCTTTCTTTTTAGTCTCTTTCTGGGAATCCATCGTAACAGATTGTGCTCTCACCTGTATACAGAGCACACTCAAGTCTTTATTTGCAGCCCTTGTTACTCTTTAGCTCACCAGTAAGCAGTAGTTAGATATAAAATGTATTCTACTACTTTGCATCTTAAAATAGAAAACTCACCTCCACTATTCAGGTATCATTACAACTTATCTCCCCAACTCCCTCATTGTGGGGGGACATTGGTCTCTTCTGCCTACTACCAGCATATTATTTTCCTCAAATCAGTATTTTCACCATGTCATTTCTCTGCCTTAGTGCTTTTTGTGACTCTATACTGGTTTCAACATGTATCCAGCAGAGAAATATCAGTCTGGATAGATGAGTCACAGAAAGAAGTCCTGGGATGAAATGTTTGGGAAATTCATACTATGTCCCCTTCTTGAGATCTAGGAACTAAAGGCTCATGGGGAATCTTACAGTAAGTAATCTGTTTAGTTGAGATTCACCTTGCATTTTCCAAATTAACATAAGCAAATTAGCCCCTCCCCTCACACAACAACCATTGACATACTTTGGAAATAAGTCCATAATGAAAAGTTCAAATTTAGCCTCCAGTCAAGGTCCCATAAAATATACTGATTTAAAAAAAAATTATATCTAAAGCAGCACCCAAATTCCACTGCAGAGCAATTTGGTTTTCTCACAGAAATTGTGTGAATTTATATGTTTATAATTTTGCTTATGCTTGTTTTATGTTCTCTTCTTTATCACTATTATCATTATAAACAATATGACATGATATCACTAACTTAATTCTGTCTTTGAAGGAGGGAACCCATATCAGAGTAAAAATGTCTCCCTTCATCCTCATCCTGCCTTGGCTCTGAGTTTGTCCATATGGAAAGATGATGGCACTTTGAACACTTCAACCGATTCCCCTGTCATGGAGGGTAGAAAGTTGATCAATACATACATATTTACAGAAATATTACAACATAGGAAAGGGCATGATTTTGAGTCCCAGTCACACATTAATTGTGTGCCTTTAAGCAAATCACTTAAGCCCATTAAAGCTCATTTTATTCTATTGAATAATAATCCAAAGGAAAGCACTTTATATACTATAAAGCACTGCATTCATTTACAGTGTTCCGTGCAAAACACCGCATCCATAAAATTGAGAAGCTTACAAAGTAAGGACAGAGTAGAAAAAAAATTCAACAACTTTTAGAGTGCTCCTTTTTTCCTCAGCACCATGCAATTTGTGCGGTCAGCTGATTAGCTGAAAATAGTTTTGATGACTGATGCTTCCTGCTTATGTTTAATTGGTTTAGGAAGCTCATTAGGGATGCTATCTCAGAGGATGAATTTGGTGGGTAGAATATCTGATGACTCTGAGGCAAATGTGTTTCTTTCAGCTGGTGAATTAATCTCTCAACAGACTCAATTTGCCTTTTACTAACTGTCTGGCAATATCCCATGGTTGCAATAGCCTTTCAAACACTTAGAATAAAATCTTGCTATAGATGGCTTACATACACATGTTTGCTGTGAAAGAGAAACATATTCATCACATTCAACAATCTTCACACGAGAGCAATGGAATGTGCTTCAAAATCTGACATATAATGATACATCTCTAAAATATTCCCTCCATCCGTTTCCAATCATTTACACAGATATACAAAAAGTAAATATGTGTTTAGAACATATTAGTCATCACATGTTCTAGTCATCTATTCAAACACAGACATGGTAAAAGATTCTGTTTTACAATTTTGTGTTATTGATGGGTATATATGTTGGGTGGTAAAAATTCAAATGTTGACAGAAAATTTCAAATCAGAAAAATGAAGGCGTAGAAAAAATTGTCCTTTCATTTCATCATTAATAAAATATCTCTAAAGAATATATCTTAAGTATAGAACAAAAAATTCTCTATGTATAAATACATGTTAATATATACATATATATGAATTTAATTTCGTTATAAACAAATTGGTATCTGTACTTTCATACAATTCAAGTAAAACCTACAAAGAAATGTATGGGAAATAGGAAAACAACAGAAGCT